TCAGTTCCTCAAACGGTTCCCAAAAGCTTCAAGCCACCTACAGTAATCAAGAACCGTACCCTTCGCCTCCTAAGCCGCAAACGGCACTGTTGGGCGGAATACAAACGAACTAATAACGATGGAGCGTATAGGCAATACAAACATATCAGGAACACATGCACGAAGGCTATAAGAGAAGACAGGCTTCAGTACCAAACAAAGCTTATGGACAAATTCGCCTCTAATACTAGAAGCCTATTCCATTATGCAGCCTCTCTTCGTCAAGCCAAAACAGGAGTTTCTCAACTGCTAGGTCTCAACGGCCCGACCAACAACGATGGCGACGCCGCTAACCTTCTGGCGGCCCATTACTCTCAAACATTTCAACCGGCTGACATCAACTTTATTGACGACAGTTTCATCTCCAACTCCACAGGACTTTCTGAAGTGGACCTAAGCGCTGACTTGGTGTTCCGGAAATTGCAGCACTTAAGACTTGACACTTCTCCTGGCCCGGATATGGTTCATCCTGCCATACTGAGGGAGGCAGCCTCAATCCTTGCAACGCCGCTTAGCGTGATGTTTTCACACTCGCTTAGCCGAGGCAAATTACCGGAAAACTGGAAGTTGGCTCACATCACACCAATTTTCAAAGGTGGTCGACGCAATGAACCTTCAAGTTATCGGCCGGTGGCTCTTCTGTCATTATGTTCAAAACTCATGGAGTCCCTGATATGCGACGGTTTAAATGACTATCTACTGTCCTTATATTTCTTCTCACCCCAACAGCATGGTTTCAGGAAGGGTTACTCTTGTATAACCAACCTGCTGACTGCGGTGGACAAATGGACAAGCATCCTCGATTGCAAGGGAAAGGTTGACATCATTTACCTTGATTTCTCAAAAGCTTTTGATAAGGTTAACCACTTGTGTCTTATCAACAAGCTCAAACGACTAGGTATCAAACCACCTCTAATCGATTGGCTTACTTCATACCTAAAAAATCGACACTTTAAGGTTAGGGTTAATTTCACTTTATCTCAGGCTATGGAATGTCCTAGTGGGGTCCCCCAGGGCTCAGTACTAGGGCCTCTTCTCTTCTTGATCTACATAAATGATCTTCCTCAACAGGTAACGTCAGACTTATTACTTTTTGCCGACGACGTGAAACTTTGGAGAGAGATACGCAACCAAGACGATACACAGGCACTTCAGGAGGATCTGACGCGACTTCAAAGTTGGGCGGACGATAACGGACTTACCTGTAACACTTCAAAGTGTAAAGTAGTCCATCTGCGACATGTCGCAAACTACAGTTACAACTTAGGAAACTCCTCTCTAGTAGTATCCCAAGTCGAAAAAGATTTAGGAGTCCTGGTGCCCCATGACTTAAAGTCTGACGCTAACTGTGACAAAAATGCCTTCCGAGCAAACCTTGCACTGGTAACGTTGAAGCGCATTTTTGGACAGTCTGACGGACGAACTTTCCATACAATCTTCAATAGTTTCATCCGTCCCCATTTAGAGTACGGAAACATAGTACTCCTCCCCTCACTCCAAAAGGACAAGGTCACTTTGGAGCGTATCCAACGGCGAGCCACGAAATCAGTTCGAGGACTCAAATCTAAGCCTTACGAAGAACGCCTCCGTTCACTAGATCTTTACCCACTAGAATATAGGCGTCTTAGAGGTGATTTACTAATGGCTTATAGCATTCTTAACACTTCTGGACATCCTCTTAAACACCTACTTAAGCTTAGTTCGAATAATAACCTAAGGGGTAACACCCAGAAACTGGAAACACAACATAGCAAGACGGAATGTAGACACAACTTCTACTCCTTAAGAGTTGTCAAAAGCTGGAATTCACTGTCGGCCGAGCTAGTCCAAGCGACTTCTCAGGAGTCCTTCAAGAGGCAACTTGACCTATTCTTAAGGACCAAGGACAGCATCACATTATGATTTACCAATTTCTTTTTTTTTTATTGTTAACATACCTAGGTTCCTGCCTGGAGGATTTGGTGATCCCTGCTACTAGACACGGAAGCCTGTTAAGCGAAAGCTTCTTCTATTCCGTCCACAACCATTTGAACCATTTGAACCATTTGCGCTAAATTCAAATTGCCGGGGGTAACGTTCAGGGCACAGACTAGCGGGTAAGCCAGGGATTTTCGCGCACACGTTACATATTGTCGTGGATTTTTTGTGTCGTTATTTATCAGCTATTAACAGGCTTTTTTGCATGACACATCAATTTCTGTATTGCTAGTGCTTGTAACATAGTTTTTATTCCAATTTATTGGCAGTTTGACGTATTTCTTGCTCACCACGTAAGTAAATCTGAAGTTAGCTTAATATAGTTATTTGTAACAATACAAACTCAAGCAAGTAAAGTTCACCGTGTTTCTAGTCAAAAAATACATCACAGATTGAGTTTTCATGAAAATGAACCGTAAAATCTTTTATATATGGTTCACCTCCTTGATTGCGGTGACGGTGAACATGGATGTCGGTAGTTGTTTATAAAATGTAAGTAGAAGCAATCAAGCGTTAACCTAATTGTGAATATTATATAACTTGTTTGTATTTAGCCATAGTGTGTATGGGTCATCTGAGAAAACATAGATTTATCCCATCATACTTTATGGAAATCCTTTAGCGCATTATCTAATTCAATCCAGCTTCCGAATCTCTTATTCAGCATAATACGTTGGAACGCGTCGCTTACGTTCACTGAAATTTCACTTGAGCATGAAGCACTAGAGACAACATACAATAGCTATTAAAAAAAGGTTATTCCTTGAAAAAAATTAACTGAAGGAAGAACAACAAATATTTAGGACTTACCCTTCAGTTGACATTTCGTCTTAACTCACAAAAACTATGTGCATCTATAACCTTTTACGTTATTTTTTCTTTCTTACGTTGTTTTCTGGACCTTATCAACAAATTATATATAGCTGTTGACTTTCACTACAGCACTTAGGACCACAGATCAAGTTTCGAAGGAACAACAGAGCTAAAGTGTGCACTACAAAACAGAAAATACTCAGTTAATGCTCTTAGCAGTTATTTAGTGTTTATTATGCATCAAAAGATGACTTATATATGGAAACATTTAATACTCATAGGACCCAACACACACACGGCAATTGAAATACGGAATGCCCGCTTCCAGTCAGCGCGTTCAAGGTCGTTGAAACGAAACGGCGGACCGATTTGAAAGGGATTACCGTTTATACTTTGCCCACTGAACGTTGGGCATTGCTTATTTTGTTACACTTACTTTCTTGTTGTTCGACTGAAGAATAATAAATTTCTGTCGATCGTTTCTTACTCGTTTTTATATTCAGAGATAATAACTGCATATACCCTGGTATTTCAATATTGACTCCACCTTTTTAGCTACATAGGACACCTACGTTTCCATGGATGTGATGACAATACAGAACTATCTTATCCTAGAAATTATATACCAGTTGTTGCTAAAGCATATGTTATTGCGGCTTTCGATATCGTATACATTGATTTTAAGGGTGAGCTCAATGTTTTAAATATGTTAAATCCGGTATTTAACATAGGAGACCTTTGGAGTTATGTCGATCGATAGAAAATAGGAGGTAATGTGTGTACTTAAGCCAACAGTAGATAATTAAGCGAATACGTAGGCAATTCGGCGGATACTTAGGCGAAAATGCGACAATTCGGCGGATATTTAGGCGAAAATGTGACAAATCGGCGGATATTTAGGCGAAAATGCGACAATTCGGCGGATATTTAGGCGAAAATGCGACAATTCGGCAGATATTTAGGCGAAAATGCGACAATTCGGCAGATATTTAGGCGAAAATGCGACAATTCGGCAGATATTTAGGCGAAAATGCGACAATTCAGCGGATAATTAGGTGAAAATGCGACAATTCGGCAGATATTTAGGCGAAAAGGCGACAATTCGGCAGATATTTAGGCGATAAGTCGTTAATTTGTCGACAAAAAGGCGAAAAAGGGGAAAATCCGCATTATTTCCTTCGGACAGGCGCGTTTTCCCCTTTCGCCACCAAAGCATTTACCCCTTTATTTCCCCTTTTTGGTTGCTCGGGCCAACTATATATATATCGACTATCTTCTGAGGCACGCCGTAGTGTCGAAGGAGCTTCCATAGTGTTGTTCTGTCCACGCTATCAAATGTTTTTTCGTAGTCAATGAAGTTGATTTAGAGTGATGAATTCCATTCAGTTGATTGTTCCACAATGATCTGTGAAGTTGGGAGTTGGTCTGTACACGATCCATCCTTTTCCGGTATTGAGAGAAGAGTGATGCCCCTGTAGTTATCACAGTTGTTGAGATCGCCTTTCTTTGGTATTTCGATCAGGAATCCTTCTTTCCATTCTATTGGCACTTGTTCCTCATCCCAAATCTGCTATGGGTTATTATTATTACATATATTTCTATTAGATACCATTAAGTAACTTATTATGTATATTCATATTCCTGTTATCATAAACTTTCATTTGACCTATTGGTTACTGTTATACGATTTACCATTCTCATGTTATTTCCAATCTATTAGTTACAGTCTCACACTCACAGCCACTTTTAGCTTCGATCGTGTATAATTGTTATTTTTTTATTTTATAGTGTGACGCGGTCTGGTTTGCTTGCATATAAACTACATGTGTTTGAAATATATTATTCACACAGTGGAGGCTGAGACTCAGCGAACAGAGCTAGGCCAGAAGGACCAATAAAGATTCAGAGTGGATGCAAGGTTGCTAATACCATTTGACGTGTCTTTGGTTTAGCACAAAAACTAGTCATATAAGTCTGTATTCAGATTGACAATTTTGTCACGTGATTATTGACAGGGAACGAAGTTTATATATATTAAGTAATTCATCAATTCTTGTTGGAAACGAAACATCTGGAAGTAATATTTCAGATTTTTGACTGATTTTTAGACTAAGTGATAGGTCGCAATTATAATATGGTTACAAGCAAAGTATATCGTCTCTATCCATGGTATGCTTCTAAATACTGGATTAAGTTCCAATCATGTCATCATAAAAACCTTTAAATTTCTTGCTGAGTATGTTAATGAAGATTCAAATTTATTACACATTCAAACGGCTGTATAACTTTGAAAAATAAATTAATTGAAAAATGTTGTACTACCAATTAATACGTGTAATCAGATTGATTAATGTATTTTTTTCATTATTTCTGATTGATTTTTTGTCATCAGAAGTAAGAAACAAAAGCGCAAACGAACTTATCAACAATCAAATGAACAACCGACTGTGATCGATCTTACTAATTCTGATGATTCGTGTAATAATAGTTTGACAGAACTAACAGTATCAACAACTAGAACTGAATCAATTGAAAATTTGCCAATATTCAATGTTTTGTCGTGGAATATTCAAGGTTTGGAGTCAACAAACCTAAACAAACGAATGATGTCTGTAGTGGAGACAATAAAGAAGTACATAATTTGTATTATATTCATATAAATCGTTTTCGTTCAATAGTGTTATTTGAATGATATTGTTTTCATTGTTCAAAGCCGTTTGACAAAATATTCTAATGAAACAAATTTTTTGCATATTGACATGTATTAAACAACTTGAGCGGATCCATCATTACTTCAACATTTAAACCAGTCTCATTCGACTCGTCAACTAGGTGCCATAAAAAACAAAGGTTTTTGGCTGTACATAATTTAGTCCAGACAAAGATGGGCTATCAACTGATTAACCCATTTTTCACAGCAAAATAGTTTTTCATTCATGTCATGTCCACGTTTGATTTAGAAAAAATGTTTTCCTTTATTGACTTTTTACTTTAAACTCTTTTCAATAGAAATGTTTGTGTGCCGTACTTTTGTAATAGTATAAATTTGCCAATTATATATATATATATATATATATATATATATATATATATATATATATATATATATATATATGAAGTTTTTATGGGCGTACATGTGGAATTCTCAACTTATTGATCATAGACCTTCAGTGCACCCCCGACATTTCAACTAACCTGTTTTAGAAAGTCAGACAGTCACACCTATGGCACTCCATTTATATTCCCCTTTGATCTGTGAGGTATTAAGGAAAGATATTATTTTCAAGTGAATACAATGAATTAAAGTAGTGAAATAGTTTCCAAGGCTACATCAAAATGGAATAAACTTCTAGTCAACGTGCAAATAAGTCGATCAAATGTATATTTTTTTATTGAATACACCCTAGCGAACAGAAACATTTTTTTAGTTTACTAATAGAAATATTCAGTTGTGTGCATTTTGATCAAATCTATCTTAAGCGCCCCTTAAACGTACAGCTATATGTTGGAAAGCCTTGTATAACTTCACGACTATGTTAGAGAATTTCATGTCATCACGGAGAAATAATCAGCCGTATTATATTCGTCTCAAAGATGATAGGTGTTTGCCTTTTGAACTAGATTTTATATTATTATTCAGGCTTCACTGAAGAAAGTAAATCAATGGTAATCTATAGAATGAATATATATGGCTTGAACTTTCAGTTTTAAGTCATGAACAAATGAACGTTATACTGACTTGGTAATCAATTTATGAGTTTGATAATGTCTTAACTTCTGACTGTCTTTCAGCCCACTTGACATTTTCGTGTTTGTATCGTTATTTCGTTATCCCAAAAATCCGTTAGCGTTGTTGCAACTTCTGATGTACTGTTTATTTTCCTTATTAACTATATCATTTTGCAATATACGTTTCTGCACAAGACATAAATCATTTCACTTTAATGCTTTCTTTCCATTGGATTCCGTAAGACTAAATCTTTGAATATTCTTATATGCCAAAGCAAAAAACACTTTCCGAGAGATAATATTATTCTTAATAGATAGTTATTAAACTAATCGATTCAATGTAACATTTGTGTAATGCGTCACCTTATTACATTACTCATAAGTAACCATTGTTTTATCTCTCATTTCTATTGGTTAATCAGAACCTTACTATTACTTCGTTGGGAAATGTAATTATAGTAATCATTCGATCATACTCAACTGACAATTTTTCTCTGCATTTGCTTGACGTTAAGTGTTTCTTACGATAATTTCATCGCTTCGAATGTAAGTTTGTAAATTAAACTGAAATATAATTACATTAAAAAACTATGTATACATGTCGAAGCGCCTGTCTTCTGTCCTTTGACTTTATTCGATTTCTAGGTGGACGAGAGCGTCAGGTGTTTTACTCGGGTAAACTTTCAGACTGGTCTTTAGTCTAAACTTTTTCACAAATAGTAACACTATTCACATCAGTTACATCATAAGATTTATTCGACTGATACTGTAGAAATACTGCAATCAAACTGTATTCAATGCAGTTATGCTTTATGTGCATATTCACATCATTATTTATTTTTAGGTTGATTTAGTTTAATATCATTGAATTCTGGACTTTTATCTCGTACTGTATGAAATTGTTTGCATGAAAATTGAAAAATTGATGTTCACTCAAACATTCCAAGGTTTTAGTAAATGAATAGTAGTTAAAGTGTTTAGGTGCATGATACTAGTTCTGTAGCTTTCTCTTTTCTAGAAATAGGTTTTGGACAAAATTTACTAATTTTATCAGTAGTTTAATACTTTCCGTTATTTGAAGATATGGTTTTCTCATGATTCGCTTTTAAAGTCACAGTTTATATAACCGTGTATACGGTCGTCTAAATTGATCATGTGAACTGAATTAATTGAATAGGTTGACTACTTTACTTTTCTTCGAAGTTGTATTAACTCTTGGGTTGATATCTGGTAAAATTATCAACAGAAATTCAAAGATCTCAGTTGTCCTTTCTCAAATTCCATCACTAGTGGCGTAAGTAAGATGTCTATCTCCCAACCAAAAGATGAGTAGACTGTGCGGCAGTCCGCTCTACCTTACTGTGAAACATGGGCTTTGAAAGTTAAAGACATGTTTCAACTGATTAATTTTGATCATACGTTTCTATGAAGCATCAATAATCTATCGTAGAATAACTAACTAAGCAGTATTGAAGTTAAGCAAAGATGACGAATTGGTCAACGAAGTTGTAAACCTTCATTAACTAAGATGACTGGGACTTGTGGTGCGTAGGTCTAACCACTGCCTACTTCAACAGGCAATAATAGCTAGTATAGAAGTACACTGGAAAGAAACTAGTGGGAGTTGCAAAACGAAAACATAGCATCAGTCCATCAAGTCTTTAAATTGACTGTACAGTGTTTTTAGATGCAGACTACCTAGTAGGAGTCTGCACAATTACTGCGATCAGTGGGTGATGTTGGATAATATAACTCAGAATTGTTGACAATGATGCAGATACGTTCACTCTTTGTATTCCTCCGTATATTTATCCTCATTATTCCTTCATATATACCTTATTATTATTATTATTATTATTATTATTATTATTATTATGCCTTTTTGAATTATATTCTGAATGTTTAGTTTTTTAAAAATTATAATTGTTACTGCATTATTTCAACTCCTTTGTTATTTATCTTGTTAGTTTCACCTTTCCGTGATAATGTGGTATAGTAAATTTGAGCAACACATTATTCCTAGGCTCTACTTTTGTTATCACAGATTGACTTGTAAAACCACCTAGACTGAGGTAAAAAGGAAGTAATTTTCCTTGACAAATGAAAAGCTTTCTTGTGATTACAGACTAACCAAATTTCGGGACAGATAATTGTCTTATTCTAACTTAACTATCTGTTCTTCAGATGGTTCAAAATTCGAGATCCATTTTGTTAGGATTCCTAGTGTGTATATTGCGAAGAAATTCAAATATATAACAAAACAAAATGACATCTCTTTTTTTTTAAGATTTAAATTGTTCTTAAACCTATATCAATTGATGAGATTTATTTTGGTATTGACAGATAATTCTCATTAAAACATTAAAAATTATAATCATGAAGTTCTGCGAAGGGATTTCTTGAACGAATTTATTATTATCAATTTACTTATTATCAAGCTGTACAATCGTATATATATGAAATTTTTTTGTTAAAGTACTAATTATTATTATTATTATTATTGCTGCATTCCCCCATTACTTACATCTTATATTCTCATTATTTTATTCATAAATGCTCATCATATCACCTGATTTATTTATACACCTCTATGGCCTTTAATTATTGTAACAAAAATATTTGAATCATCCTACTACATTCAAGTTATAACTCGTTACTAACTTATTAAGTCGATTGTTATTATTTTTGTTACGTATTCTAGTATTATAATCTTTCTATTACGTCATCTTGGTTATTCCATGTTCATATTTCTTCACGGAATTAGTACTTTAACAAAAAAATTTCATATTTATACGATTGCACAGCTTGATAATAAATTCGTTGGAAAGAGATCCCTTCACAAAACTTCGTGTTTTTATTTGGATATGGTAAGATTTGAATTATTGCAATAAGTATTCAACAGCTTGTTATATATATAACTTCAAATAACATCGATAAAATACATATCTATCTGTTTTTATACTTGCGTTTCCGATAACTTGCATTTATACCCTATTCGACTGATTTTCATATTTTTTAGAGAAGAATTCCATGTAGTTTGGAAATTCTGTTTGGAAATTCTCCGTGAGAAGCTAGATTCAACGTATGATATTTTTTCTGCATCTGACCATAACTCTCTATGGGATTATTTTGTTGTCATTTTAGTTAAAAAGCATCCAGATATAAAGGTTGACGCGGATTCTGTTAGTGTAAGTGATAACTTTTGTGTTTTTGTTTTTTATTTATTCATTCATTTTTTCCTTACATCTTTGATTTGACAGTTGACTGAATTATCAATTTTAATTTCAAATTTGATATGAAATACAGGGAAACTTTCACAGGTATTATCCTTGTAGTATTCGAATTTGATTTTCTATATCGGAAAGCTATTTTTTCTATTGAGATTCTAACTGATATTTCGAATTAAAAAAGTGAAGTAAATCACGAAACGTAAATGGTTTTAATTATAGTTGGTGTAAACAAATACTTGACTATTAGTGAGAAGTAAACATTTAAGGTATCCATTTCCGGACCTCGTTAAAAAACAAGCATTTATTGTTGTTTGAAGGTATCAAGTAGTGTATTAACAGCTTATTTCAAGCGAGGAATTTCGAACCTCACCGATACTGCAAAATGTGTTTACTCGCTTTTCCGGTTTTATTTACTTCATTATATAAAACAATCCATTACGAGTTGCTCTAAGATGAATGTCGCGAAGTTCTGACGAAAATTTTTATATTAGTCATCTTTTTAATCGAGTCGAAAGTTTGGACGGAGGTTAACCTTAATCTTTAACTTACTGAAAATCGAAGAAATCTTCAGGATCTATTAGGATTCTAATACAGTAACTGATGAGTACTTGTGTATGTATTTCTGATAAATTTCATACTTATATGAAACTTAATCAATCCTTACTTATTTTAGTGATTTTTCATCTGGTATCAGTTCATCATGAAAATTGATAAAAGTAGATATTATATGATGATTGATATTGATGTTTACCTGTCCGATTGAAAGGAGTAACCAATCCAAAAAAACATCAAGTCTTTCGATCACATAAAGTGGTTAGAATATTTAAACTGAATGATTGTCATTGACACAAAACGTCGTAATCTACTGTAAGAGAACTTCAAAATAATTAGTATCGATTTTCTTTTCATAAGTTATACTTTGACATCAGACATTCCCAACAGTTGCCCTTTCAAATTCTCTGATAGTCTTCTTTTATACTTTAATCCATTGAAATGCTTGTGCCCGTGATGACGTTTGAAACTACTTCGTCATTGCTTACTAGATTATTATCGCTGATAATTATAAACGAGGCAAAACCACCCATAGATTATTCCCAATTTAATATTCCTCTTAAAATAATAATAAACAATCACTTCATTTTTGAAACTATTGAATAAGCACGAGGAATGAAATGATTTTTATTGATGGAAGGGGTAAAACTATTAAGGAACCACGACCGCTAGTCGAATTATATTTTGAAAAAACACGATCACGTAACTGTAACTACTGTTGTGTCCTATTCTTACTTGACTAATTAAAAACTATCGCTAAAGCCAAATATTTTGATTACTACGTGTAAATCTGAATTGATGTACTTTACAATATTCAATCTTCAATGACAAGTTACCATTTCAGGCTTTCTGATAGAAATTTTGGTTCAAATAAAAGCTTTTTTATTCCTGAGAAAGCATGTTTTTTAGTCTTATTTACATTTCCACTAATAAAGTAAAGAGTTTCAACAGTTACTTGTTACCAATTGTTTTTTTTTGTATTTTGTTTTCCTTCACAATATAATATACAAATAGATATAAATAGTGATGTTATGATTTTTATTTTAACTAACAAATTATAAATAAAAATCATCTCAAACTGAAAAGATCACACGTCACCCAAGTAGATTGTGATGTAGGTAGGTGGATTTTTCTTTTTTTGTTCTTCAGTGAATTTAATGTGAAATGATTTACTTTCACAAGATTCATTCAACTATCTTGTATCTGCCAATTTTATTTTCCACTTGTGTTTTAAAAAGTAATTTAAACCTGTTATCTGTATTATTTAAATGTTTTGACGTCAAGAGTTTATGTTGATGAAACCATTTTTATGTGTGGGACTAAACAGATATTCATTGCTTTTTATGTTGCACTGACTTTTCAGTTAACATTAATTCATGATTGAAACTGTCAGTGTTTTTCTTTAAAATTATTTCCTTGACACAATTCTTATCTTTAAAAGAATTCTATTCATCAAATTATTTCTTAACCATTAAGCTAACCTTGTTGCAATGGTGTGGTACACAGGTATTTTTTGCAATTTTATTGTGTAACATAAAAGCACAACTAATTACTTTACATATGCGTCGTAATATTCAAAAAAATTTAATTGTGTTGTATTAAATATCTGTAAACAAACGCCTACGTCAGAGACTTATTAATTTTAAGAACTCAATTTATTGTGTACATTGAATTGTTAGTTATTTCTTTTATAACAATAAAAATTACATTTAATAAACTATTAATTACAGATCCCAGTTCATGTTTTAAATTTTCTATATTTATTTACTTTGAAGAAGTTATTTACATTAAGTCACTAAAACACCAGAAATACAATTTTCTACTCATTTGGTATATCATTAAAATAAATATTTATTATTAACATTATTGTTTAGCGAAAGATCACTCAGAATAGAATTATCTAAAAACTGTATTACAAGTTCATTAGTTCCAGATAGTAATTAGTTACTTGAATTGGATTCGAGTCACTCAAACGTTGATAATATGCTTCGTCAAAATATTAATCCATTGTTTTTACTAACTACTTTTCAATACTTGTTTATATAATGAAAATTATAGAAAATAAAGGTCTGTTTACTTGAAAATTGCAATCTTAATGTACTATTAATAATAGGCTTTGGCAAAACACTTTCGTACACTCCATTGTTCTACCTCTTACATTTGTTTTTTTCCTTTATTCACTTACTTAGATTCAACCATTTCCTAATTCTGTAATGAATCGTCATCTACTATCTATTGATCTGAATTTATCACAGTTTCTATCCAAGTCTAATGTAGAATTAAATCTACGAATATTTACTACACACTTGGAAAGTTGTGCAGAATATTCTGGTGAACGGGTGACTCAATTGAAAAGTGTTTGGGATACAATGTCCAGTTATGTCAAGTGTGGCGATTCTCAAGCTCGTTTAAACAAAAGCCGTGCAAGTATATTTTGCGGTGACCTTAATCTGAGGGATTCAGAGGTAGGTTCTGTCACTACCTTTTTTCATGACTTCAATTAACAGTAACTATACTAAGGGTTATTCGATTTCATCATTATTCAGTTAACTTACTATGTATGATATCGTAGAGGATTGCTTAATGAAAAACTACCGAATATATTTTAATTATGACGTACCTGGAAGAAATAATCCTATTCTAGAGTAAATTTTAGACTAAATGAAACGAACGTTTCCTCACCCTTTCGTTTCACTTACTAGTAGATATCACAACTGTTTCCACAGCTTTTTAGATATCATACCAAGCTATCTCAAGGGTATCATTCTTTCGGCTGATTAGCTCATTCTCCAGTTGTTCCTGAATTATATCTTTAACTTTCTCGTCATTAAGTTGTACACCAAGGGGTTTCCTTGATGTGGCTTTTCTCCGCCCATCAAGATGCAGACAAATATGTGTTTGGACTATAGTATGATCCGGATTCAAACCTGTGCTCCAGAATGAACAAGGCTTCTATCGAGTCCCTCTAACGATGATTAGTGTCGTGATCTATTTGAGTAAATTGTATGGTTCGCCACGTCAGATGATGTTCCTCATGTTTAAAGTTGGTGTTTCTTTTTTAAAGTAGACTGTTATCTGAGCATGGTTGCAGTGGACGATTGCCACTATCTGTTCACTGAGCGGCGACATTGTAGGACCCATTTAGGAGCATTTTGGTCCAATTCAGTCAACTTACTCGAGCATTAAAATCACCTATCACTATTACTGCATCATAGCGTTTAGTCTTTTGAAGGAACCTAAATAACCTCATGGAATTCATCTTTTACTTTATCCGAGCTGGTCAATGTGAGCGTAGGTTGAAAAAACAAAAAGGCAAAGGTGTCCCCATCCTTACTTAATACTATACCTACACCAGCGAGGCCATGCGAAGTAGCAATGTGATCCCCGGATATTGGGAGGGTAAATCGCGTGAGTTCTTCATAATGACAAGATGAGCTCAAGCGAATGACCGTACTTGGGTCCTGAATGCGCATTTCGGAGACAGCATACATGGACGGCGTGAAATCCTAGTCCTAGCTAACAAAGACTGTTTTGTTATCTGATACTAGGTACGAAACTGTAGTTTAGAGCGTATTATCACATCAGAAATAACATAACATTCCATGAAATCAAATGAAAGTAAATGGTTTCGTCGAAAAGAAAATTTTCTTCGCTGAAACCTCTTTTGCTTATTCAATGACACTATGGGTTATTTTAAATATCTATCGTTGCTAAATGCTTACGTGTAATTAGTACTTTTTAACTCTTTTTGCAGAATAGAATTATGTGCGAAACGGTTAAAAATTCAGACGAAACAGTCTGCAAAATTAGAAGGCACTTTCACCACGAAAATATTTGTCAAAATTATGTTCGCTCGGATAAATCCAAAGTGTATACAAATTAATATCCTGATTTTTTAAAGTACTGCCACAATACAAGCAAATAAAAATCAACTTTATTTTGAGATTTGACTTGAAATTCTCCTGATATGCAAATTAAATAAACACTCGAGTTTTCATAAAGTTAGCAAACAAACAGATTGAGAAATAAATAATGTTATTTACACTAATTTTACACATGTTTTTGAAAAATCAGAAATAGAACTTTAAATGTCCCAAAAAGTCCAACTAGGCAGCTGACTGGTTATACTGCGTTGTATTAACCAGACGTACACCACACATAGAACAAATACCTTTCTTGAATGCACACTGTTGACAGTAATAGGAACCTGGCTGATGTACGGTTTGAGCACATATTCTGCATCTTGGGAACGCATTAGAGTAAGGACTAAATCGATTTTTGGAACTAGTTAGTAGTTTATTTTCATTAAGTTTCCTCCCACCACCACTGACTGTGTTCCGTGCACCAGCTTTCCAGGGATCAGGAGTTATTACTTTGCCCAGTTTCCTCTCGCCTGTCAATTGAAACTTGTTACGCAAAACTCGACTTACACTTTTCGCAAACCATCTGTGTTGTTGAGACACTGAGTCTGCGATATTTCTCCTCAGCGTGTTGTGGATTTTCGATAAGGTACTATTTAACAAATTGATAACGTCAAAATCACTAAGCTGAGTAAATACAGGACATTATTTTACAAAGGGTGAGAATAAAAACGAATATCCTCATGGAGTGAATCTTAATAAAGGTTTAAATGCAAAACAAAATGAGCGAATGACAGGGTGGCAGACAGTTTAGTGTCACAAAGTAAGAATTAGTATTTTATCATAATTAAGCAACTTACATTATTAATTTCCTAATGACGACGAGCGAGACATTAAGAATCAAGTTAGCACACATGAGGAGATACAACGTACCAGCATCTTTTGAGGGGTTACCACGACAGATGTCATACATACGTCTATTAATGCACAGAATTTATTTGGTTGATGCTTTCATAATATATGAAGAAACAGTGCGGAGAGATGTGGAATATATTAGTAGTTTTTTCATATGAAAATTGGTTTTTGCAGTTTTATTAAGGTTGTTAACAAATTACACTGGTATCACGCATTTAGTGGGATACTAGGACTTGGAGACTTGATGCGACGAACAACCATCTAAGTATGAAAGCTCTGAGTTTGGTTTTGAGCCTTTAAATCTTCTAGAGTATACGGAACCATACTACATGATTACTTTGTTCTGTGGTAAGACACTTCGTATGAACTTCAGAATCCCAATAAACACAGTACAGATTCACTAACAGCGTTGAAACAATATTCTTGCTTCCAACTCACTCGAGTAACAATGAGTTCGTCTTGTGGTACCCTTTTACTTATTGACTGATACTTGCTCATATTGTGTTTTAAACCTTAACCTGACTACAGTGGTCGGTAGTACTCATAAATGTGGACAACCAAACTGTTTGTTTCCTGTGGATGAAGGAATGCAGTGTGATAAGTGCAAAAAGTGGTTTCATAAGATGTGTACCCGTTTAAGTCCCACCGCATACAAAAGATGCTCGAACCCGAACTCGCATTGGTTTTGCATGTTGTGCTGTGCAAATAAGACGTCACTAACACGGGAGGCTATGAGCCTATTGACTTTGGCCTGTAAGAAGAACGATGGCGGTTGCGCTGAAAACACGAGCACTGACAGTGAAGAGCGTGTCAGTGTACGTGCTGTTACGAGACGCTTCAAACACCCGACTGTGATTGACGGAAAAGTGAAATTTCCGTCAACATTAACGAGAAGGGAAGTACTGCCTGTTATTGTTAATCGTACACCTCCAGTGGAAATTCAAGATCCGGATAAAGCCGTCACCGTTCCACATCGTCTCGGTGTCCTGAGGGATGGAAAATGGACTACTGTACGGAGGAAACGAAACGAAGAAAGCTGTAGACAGTACGCAGTTGGTTAGCAAGTCATTGGTGGGCTCCCATTGTGTGGCACAAAATGCACTACCAAAGTTTGATAGTAAGAGAGAAACCCACGCTGGCGTGATGACTGAGAAGGAGAATCTAATCTCATCGAATATTATTGTGAGAAAATTGCTGGAGTCAAACGAACCTGATCCCAAAATTAGACACACGCATGATTTGGAGAAACTGGGAGAATATATTCGTAGTATCTTACCAAATAACCTTAAAGCAGTTCAGGTATAAAAAAAATGGTTAGAATAGGTAAGAGGACCGAGGACAACGTTGAACCCCGACCATGCAGACTCTTTAAGGTAATCCTAGAGTCGGAGAAGCAACGTGATCTCCTGTTAAGTAGCGTTCGTAGTCACGACAATTCAGACGTCCGAGTTAGACCTGATATGTCTCTTGAAGATAGAATAAGAAGGAAGCACTAGCTAAACTAGAAACCCGTCGACAAAACGGTGAGGAAAATCTCCGGTTAGTGGAATTTCGGATAGTCAGGTCTTGGAAGCGAATGCTACCAAGGCCTATGTGGATAGGCCGTTCTATCTAGGCGTTTTATATGCCAACGCTCGTAGTTTAAGAAATAAGTTCTATGAACTAGAAGCATTAGTGGACAAATTTAGGCCACTTATTGTAGCAGTGACAGAAACTTGGTTAGTCAGTGACTTAGACATTACTCCACAATTATCCGGATACCATTACCTAAGGAGTGATTGACATAGATGTAAAAAGAAAGGTGGTTTCCTTTTATACATAGCTCCTCTGCTAGCGAATCTCATGATAGCGGTACTTGTGAAGTTTATTGATTTATTTTAACCCATAGATATTGGTACAAGGAGGCACGAAAAAAATATGCACCATTGGTTTGGAATCAGAGTTTACCAACTCTCCTAGGTGGACTCTCCATGTCCACCAACCCGGTTAAAGCGTCGGACATTCGCTTTTCGTCCTCTCAATTTCGTAAACAACACCCCCTCCACGAGAAGGCAATGAGTAGGACTTCCATGGTAGAGGCTATATACGCGTGGCCATGTGAGAGCATTTTGAGAGGGAGGGCGGACTCTCCCCACTATCGGCCGTACCAGGGCATTTGGGGGCCGTGAAGTCATTATCTGTAAATTGGCTTTCGGATTTGGTGCATTTATTCTCGGCGTCATCTATCGCAGCCCAATCTGCTTAGCTGATGACTTCATTTTAGAGCACATTCAACTCTGGAGTGCAAATAAGATGCTTGATAATAGGAGACTTTAGTGCACCTGATATTAGCGGGACTGAGATAACCACGGAAGGATCTACAAACTACTTTGATAGCAGGTTCCTGATAACAATAACAGAGCATGCTCCAAAGCCACAGGTTTAGGTGCCAAGCCATGTTCTTCCCTGTTGGACTTGATAATCACTCATGAGACTGAGGATATTGTCTACCTAAATATTCTTCCACCGTTAGTGAACACCGATCACGCTGTCTTGTCATTCACTTTTAGAACTAGGGACATGATATACGACCAGGTTACACCCCGCCCAAATGTACCGAAAAAGCTGAAGCTTTATCGCAATATTTTAGTAAAGTGTTTTCTATCAGTAATGTAGAACGACCAACGATTCATTGTGATTGTGGCAGCTCGCTGACGGACGCTGTAGTCATTGAGAAAGGTGCTGTCTTAAGGATACTTCAGCATCTCAAACTTGATAAGTCCAGTGGTTCTGATGATATTTATCCTAGGATTATGAAAACCATATCAGATGTAATTACTGAACCATTAACGATACTGTTTGACATGTCTCTGAGGCAGTCCAGACTGCCAAGAGACTGGAAAGACACTATAATAAGTCCGCTGTATAAGGCTGGGAGTAGGGACTATGCTAGTAACTATAGACCCGTTAGCTTAACTAGTGCGGTTGTAAAATTGATGGAAAAAGTCATTCGAATATCTATTATAAACTATGTTGAAGGGCATAATCTTTTCTCCAGGGAGCAACATGGTTTTCGGAGAGGCTTATCATGCTTGACAAATCTTCTCATTGCAAAAGAAGATTGGGCTGTGGTAAAAGATCGGTATATTCTTGTAGATATGATCTTCATAGATCTAAGTAGGGCCTTCAATAAGGTCTCCCATTCTGGTCTTAAATTCAAACTGTAACGTTTTGGAATCCATTATACAGTTGTAGATAGGATAAGTAACTTTCCAAATGACAGGAGACAAAGGGTAAGGGTTAATGGAGCTTTCTCCTTGTGCGTACCTGTAAACAGCGGAGTTCCCCAAGGTACAAGAAATAGAGTGGTAGGTTAATTAGTTCGTTACTGTAACTCGTTAACAAAAAGAGATAGAGTAGTAAATAATATGTCAGGATATAGCTTGAAACTGCAGCGAAATGGAAAAAATGCTATTAAATATTAACAACATGAAATAAATCCTCACATATAAATACGGAGATCCTAAACATTTTTCGCAACTCTTCTTTACACATCTTGCTTATGAATAAAAGTCTCTCTAATATTCTCCAGAAATCTATACAGAATCGGAGGATAGTGAAAATACTCCCAGAATATAATTCATCCAGTCTAATAAGTTGCAAAGCCAGACATAATCGCAGTCACAGAAACCTGGTTGACACAGTCTATAGATAGTATGGAACTTGATTTTGAGGGTTTTACGTTAGTAAGGGCCGACAGAACACAAAAGTGTAAAGAATGGGAGTAGCTCTATTCATTAGAAATGCGATTCCACTAACCATTATCGACAGTGCATTCAATGAGAGCGGAACGTGTGAATTGGCTAATTGCCGCTTGAAATGCAAGGGGTAAGAACTGCTGATTGGTTTGGTCTATCGCCGTCCAAGCTGTGAGGTAAATGAGGTCCTGCTAAGCAGTCTCAATACTTGGTCACAAAGTGGTCGATGTCTAATCCTAAGGGACTTTAATGCACCAATGGTAGACTGGGAAAATCTGCCAACTGAATCGTCAGAAAATTCCTTCGAGCAGGAACAAGTTGATGCGGTTATCACATGTGCCCTACTGCAACATGTGAAAGAAGCGACTAGGTACGACCCGGACACTGAATCATCCTTACTAGATCTTATATTGACTCACTATGAGGATGACGTTTCGAACCTCCATTACATGCCAACCCTAGGTAGAAGCGATCACGCAGTTTTAACTCTCGACTTCCATATAACTGTCAATCACGAGCACGCGTTAGCTCTATCCAGACCTAACGTCTGGAAAGCAAACATACCAGATATCGTGCACTCGGCATCGTTAATAGATTGGACAATAGACCCAGAGTGCTCAATTGAAAGGGCTTGGGACGCATTTCGAAATTTATACTTAAAAGTTACTGCATCTCACATCCCTTGAACTACACCAAGGGGGCCGAGAAACTCTCTACTGTGGTTCAGTAGGGAGGTTCGCATCCTTCCCCGTAAGAGAAGAAAAACGTGGGATAGACTTAGGGACTGATGAGACAAAATCTCAGTATCGAAAAGCTTGGAATACCTGTGCCTTGACCCTCCGTTAGTCTAGAAAGTTGTACGAAGAGAAAATTGTTAAGGAATCCATAGAATGTCCCAAACGCTTGTATTCTTATATAAATCAAAGGAAAAAAAGAAGAGGAAATATTCCTGCACTATGGGTAGACAGTACTGGCAAAAGACTTCCTAGTTGGGCGCCAACAGTGTACGGGTGAACTTAAAGTTATCTAGCTGAGAAACTGTGCTTAGTAGAGTGCCTCAGGGTACAGTTTTATGGCCAGTGTTATTCCTCTTGTATGCAAATGACATTCCTCGTCTCTTATCATCATCGGTCTTGCTATATGCTGACGATGTCAAGGTATGGAAAACGATATGATGTGAGGGTGATAGCTTAGAACTGCAAAATGACATGAAAAATTATCTGAATTGTCTCAAACCTGACAGTTGCCGATAAATACTTCCAAGTGTGTTGTGATGCCTATCGGTCATCAAGGCACAGATACATACACGATGAATAACACTGAGCTACCTGTCGTCCAGACACATAATGACTTAGGAGTCATCGTTAGCCAAGACTTAAAGACTACTGCGCACTGCCATGCAATAGCCGCCAAAGGTTTTAGGACGTCATGGTCAATACGTAGAGCTTTTAGTCATGTCGACGCTAAAACGTTTTTGACTTTGTATACAGTGTTCGTAAGTCCTAAACTTGAGTACTGCATACAAGCGGCTAGCCCCTGCTTAAAAAGACAGTGAGCTTCTGGTTCAGAGAACAGCAACTAAGCTGATCCAAGGAATAGTGAAGCTTCCGTATGATGCTCGACTGGTCAAGCTGAACCTTTTCCCGTTGTCATATCGTAGAACTAGAGGCGACTTGATTACAGTTTTCTAATTACCTAGCGATAAATTTGCACCTGATATACCCTCATTTTTCTTGTTTTCCAAAACAGAGAATTTACGAGAACACTCCAAAAAAAGTTCACAAGCCCAGAACAAATTACTTGTCAGCTGACTATCGACTTTCTCATCGAATAATCAACGACTGGAATTCATTACCACAGCACGTGGTTGAGGCTACACTCGTCGACTCTTTCAAAAGAGAGTTGGATCATCTGAGAGACCACCATTGCCAGGACTAACACAGGCCATCAAGCCTCCTGTCTTTTCCAAACTGAAACTGATGACATAGTTTATGAAACGGGTAAGCGTTCTCCTTTTGACATGTGCACAAATTCAATTTGAATAACACTAACAACGTTTGGTACTATCACAGATCTTTTTATCTTCACTTAGAAAGATGTATTACAACGTTATACTGACAGTCAGATAGACTCAAAATCCTTAACAATCAAGAGTTAGCAAATCTGACATTACGGGTGTCGAATTGGTCTCCGGTAATTATTATGCTGGTGAGCCAGTTTTGTAGCAGATTCATAGAAAGGAAATAAATTTCTTCAAACATTACGTGACAATATGCAACCAGAATTATATCTTAAACGTCATATGCCTATTCATAATAAGCACTAAAGTAAAAGAATCTAGTCTTTTTAGACGGACATTTATTGGTACGTGAAATTTCTAATAATTAATAATTTAAAACTCTTAATGAGTAATGGTAAGCTTTCAATTTTTATTTAGTACACAGTGAAGCGGACTGTACCGTATCGCAAGACACAAACCCTCCGCTGTTTTACGCAATATTCAATATCCATGTTATCAGCAAATATTTAAAATGTCTAAGCTTACAGTTGATGTAAATAAACAAACTTCAGTCATCCTTTTTCGCATGTAAAAAGCAATATTTATTATGCCGTGACAAGTAGCGTGACTCGCTCTTACAGTTATTATGTTAAACATGAAATATTATTGGTTAATCTTATTTATCTCCGTATAAATATATTGCGTCCTGTTGGGCCAGCATATAGGTCTTCGCCAAGCTTTCAAGTCGTTTGCGGCTCCCAACAAGGGTTACCTAGCCAGGTTGCGAGCTGAAAAATTTAATCGGGAAGCGCTGAACGTGGATTAGGTGTGATTGTGTAGTTGTTTGGGTTGTAGTTCAGGAACTTGCATTTCCCCTTGTGTATGTTGAGGCCTATTGATGCAGAATCTGATGTAACATTGACTGTATTGACCTTCATTTGTTCATGTGTCCTCTTGTTGACGCTGTCAAACGCTTCCTCTTAATCAATGAAGTTGATGGATAGTGACGAGTTCCATTCAAATAATTGTTCAACCATGACCCGTAGTGTCACGATTGAGTCTTTGCACGACTGATCGTCACGGGATGAGACAATTCGATCACGAAGTTTGGTGTCTCCTGAATCTTTCATCTGTTTCACTGACACTGTTAAAAACATTTGCTGGTACGAATGTAGTGTGATTCCTCTAAAGTTCTCACATTTGCTTCAAGATCACTTCATATCCGGTGTTGTCCATTCCGACTTCTGAGTTAAGGTCTCCCATCAGGGTGGTGAGATCCTTTCTTGAACATTTCGCTCTGACGGATTACAGCCACTGATAGAATTGATCTTTATTGTCGTCGTTGCTATCATTGGTGGGTTTATAACATTGGATATCATTCAACGTGATTCCCTAATTCTTTGTTTTGAAGGATGCTTCGATGACTCTGGATTCGTGAGATTCCCATCCTACAAGTGCATTACGTGTTTCTTTGGGCGGCTTTAGAGGAACTCCCTGAGTGGGTGGAGTATTTCTTTTTCCGTGACTAGTGTACAGCAGCATCTCTCCCGTATCTAACCTTTGTTGTCCAATTTGGATAAAATGGGTTCCCAGTACTTCCAATTTGAATCTCCTCGATTTCGTTGCTACTTGACTGATCTTCCCAGCTTTCCACATCGTCTGTACGTTACAAGTGCCTATGCCAATCGTTGTTTGTGACCGGCAATAACTCTAGATGAGCTACAGGTGGAACTAGAATAACGGCACTTTCCGGAATTGCAGTCACTATAACTGACCTGTTGCATCATCATATAATCAATTGTTGTGGGATATTCACGCAACCTAGATTGCTTAATTCGTGGATTCCTATCTACCAATGTTAGTCGGATTATTTCAAAATAATTGAGTGAGATTGCTGTTAACTTAAATATCGAAATATATATTGGTAGTAGTATGTCACTCCACAAGCTTTGTTCTCGTTTACGACAGTCAAATTATTCACGCGCTTGAAAGCAACACTTTGAAAGAGAAAATGAAGAACATATCTTCATTCAAAAGAGCAACAACGTTGGTGATCTTAATAAATGCGGAGTTTCTACGGATTTTTACTTTGGAGAATTAGAACTAACTATGATATACCCAGGAGAAGGTAATCAGCATAGTCAGATTACTTTTCTTTATACTAGCGACAATCTATTCTTTGATTTCAAGCTGACGGATAAACGCTTAAATTTATGACTGCTAGCGTTTTAAGCAATTAATGGTTTTTGGGAATTATGTGCTGTCTTGTATACAATTTCTGGTAATATAGCGGTAAAGATCTATCCACTAGTTTCGCTGGTAATTTTACTCGGGACATTGAATGACTGCTAAGGTGAAGCTAATAATATGAAGGTTATCAAGGGAACTCATGAGCGGAAAGACCTTAATTAAATTTTATGAAATGTTCTCGTGTAGAATAAGATGTAAATTAAACGACTACAGAACATATCTCACTAGGACCACCAGTTGACAAAGATTACCACAAACGCACATGAGTCTCCACAAAATAACTTGGTTTCAAGAAGTACCTCTAAAGTGCACGAATTTCCAGTTACGCTAAATTCATTCAGAAGTATTAGAACGTTGGTAAACATACGCTTTGTTGTTATCGACTACAAGAATATCGTAACTACACTCGAAATGTGTGGAAACAATCAATGTAATAATTTTGTAGGACTTGTAACTGAATGAAGACTTGGGGTTCTAAGTTGTTACTTGCGATTGAGTCAAAAACGACTCAAAACATTAATCTTGATCAGCAAAACTACGCTATTTAAACCTAAATTTTTGAAACCTACACAGTTCATATAAGTTTTGGAACACCAAACTGCGCGCAGAAATAAAGGTGCATTCAATGCCATTTAATTGTAACCAGAACTTTAATTGCAGACTACTTATCTAACTGATAGTGAAGAGTGCAATAATATCGTAAGGTAAAACCTTACTGTATATACAGATTTAAATAGAACTGTTATTTCATATATATCAAGTAGCTGTATGCTCAAAAATAGGAATAAATTGAAAATATTCATTTAAGCATCTGTTTTTATACACAACTGTTGAGTGAAAAAAAGAGAACTCTGCGTTTTTAAATGCGGGAAGTGGTTCACAAGAACTAGAACATTGAAGATTACAAACCAGTTAATAAGAATCGACCAAGTATAGCCCAGTGATCAGAAGGTAAACACGGAAGATTCTTAACCTTTTCGATTCCACGAAGGCCAAAATCAACGGGTTTTAATCTGGAGCCTAACGCATACATGCGATCATATCGGAAAGTCATATGAGCTCGAGGAATACCTCTGAATTGACGTCGAGCATTTAGGTTGTGCATAGGGTCCCAAGTATTTCTTATCTCATGGCGACGTCCACATTCATACCATACATCATGTATCCCACAAGGTAAGCCACCTAACACGCCAACCTACGAATGTAAAAAACAATTATGAATACAGCACATTATAAATCAAGGATAGATACATAAAACAGATAAATCAAAACATTTGATTACGACAAAGCGATTTCTGGGAAAAGATCAGAGGCTACATTTCTTGTAAATTCCTGAGTACTAAAAGCACGAAATAAGTTATGTGGAAAACCAAGTAAGAAATAAATAATAACAAATCTCCATGGAGTGTTCATGTGTATAAAGAATTGGGTATAAAACGGAAGTGATAAAAGGTCATTTACGATTATGAGGCATTTATTATAATGGATAAGACGGAAAAATACTTTATGTAGTCTAAAGTACCTTCCTATAACTAATGTAGCCGATTTTTAAAATACATACAGAATAGTGATAAAAATAGAAAATACATATGTCTGGTTTAAATAGAAAAAACGACAAACATTTGGCAGACCCACCAGATTAACAAGAAATAAACTGAAGCTGAAAACTTCAACTCAAGAAAACTACAACACATAAGAAAATTAAATTTATTTATTTATTCGATCAAAACTGATTTAAACCTAGTGAAAACGTGTTGACAGAAAAATGAAGCAATGGTTCATAAACAAATAAGAACTAGAACTGTAGAAAATCTGGGGATACTGCCAAGCACAAGCCCAGAAAGAGGAGGTGGAGTGATTTTCTAGAAAACGGCTGAGAAAATAAGGAGATATAACCTAACGGTTCTCGGAATAAGTGAAACCCATCAGAATCAAGCTGGACACAAAAGATTAACTTCAGAAGAAGTGTTGTTGTACTCTGATTATGAAGAAGAGAATGCCTCGCACACACAAGGAGCTGTACTGAAGCTGTTCAAAGAAGCACAACAAGCTCTCATAGGACGGGAATCTCACAGGCACAGGATCATCAAAGCATCATTCAAAACAAAGGAGGAGGGAATCACAATGAATATTATCCAATGTCATGCACGCACTAATGAGAGAAACGACAACGAAAAAGACCAGTTTTACGAGAAGCTGCAAATGATCATAGTGAAGTGATCACGAAACAACCTGACTATCTTGATAGAAGATTTAAATGCCAAAGTCGGAATGGACAATACCGGGTAGGAATATATGTTAAGATGACAAGGACTAGGAGAATGAACGAAAATGACGAGATTTTTAACAAAATGGTTATAGGTGGCACAATATTCCCCCACAGACGCATACACAAAGCTAGATGAGAAAACTACAGAGGCATCACACTATCGGTACCAGTAAAAGTCTTCAACAGAGTGTTGCTGAAACAGATGAAAGATTCAGTAAACGTCCAGCTTCGAGATCAACAAGTTTCATTTCGTATGGATCAGTCGTGCACAAACCAAATCGCGACACTACGGATCATCGTTGAACAATCAATCGGATGGGACTCGTCACTACACATCAACTTCATTGATTATGAGAAAGCGTTTGCCAGCGTGGATAAGAGAACCTTACGCAACCTTCTTCGACACTATGGTGTACTTGGGAAGATCATCAATATAATCCGGAAGTCACATGACGGAGTTAATTAAAACACGTTTACTTAGAGCATGTGTGCGAGAACCTAAGGCACCAACAAGATATAGAAAGCTATGGTTCGGTGCTACAAGTAAACATTTTGGAAGTAATGAATCGGACTAAAACACCACTTTAAATACGACTTACAATTCAGTTTGAATTTCATTTATAATTTTTGAATTTACTAAAGTAAAACCAAAAGGGGTATAACGCTCCAAGTAAATTTAAAGATGATTTTGATTCTCTATGGCGAAGAGTTTACCTAACGAAGAAAATTAATTTCGCAATTAAATTAATCTTATTGTTGATGATACATACCTTAGGTGTTAATAAGTTGATTTTTCGTACATAAAATGAGATGCGGCAACCAATCACGTATAATCTCGAATCTAAATCTGCAGTGAATGTATTCCGTACGTAATTAGTTAAAATATGGAGCAGAAACATCCAACCTACGCTCACATTGACCAGCTCGGATAAAGTAAAAGATGAATTCCATGAGGTTATTTAGGTTCCTTCAAAAGACTAAACGCTATGATG